CGCGATTCAAAAAGACAGCCGCGTCCTCAGGTACCAGCCCCTTTTCCTGCGCGCGAACCTCCGTACCTTTGCACTTTACTTCCGCAGCTCCTGACCCTCAATGTGCTTTTCTCTTTCCTTCTAGCTGTAGAATTTCCACTCCGCCAGCCCTCCTGTAAGTTCTGGATAATGTCTGTTCTGTCCTTTTATTGTGTTTTGAAGTTGTTGTAGGAAGCAGCAATTTCGGTGTTTCCCTATGCCGCCATCTTAGTTTCTCCGGCATCCTGTTCTAAATCCTTGTTCTGAGACCTACTTGAGCCATTTAAAAATCAATTATTGAAATGATTTTAAGGGACAAAATCTTATTGCCATAGAGACACAATACAGTAGTCCCCCTCATAGGCTGTTTCACTTTCTGTGGTTTCTGTTACTTGTGATCAACTGTGGTCCAAAAATATTAAGTGGAAAATTACAGAAATAAACAATTTATAAGTGTTAAATTGTACACCATTCTGAGTAAGTGAAGAAATCCCCCACCTTTCTGTGACATCTTGATCCTCCCTACTCTGGTCTTGAATCATCCCTTTGTCCAGTGTTTTTACACTGTACATGCTTCCCACCTGTTAGTCACTTAGTAATCAATTAGATTATCAGATTGACTTTCATGGTATCAGCATTGCAGTGCTTGTGTTCAAATCACCTTTATTTGATTTAATAATGGCCCCAAAGTGTAAGAATAGTGATGCCAACAATTAGGATATGCCAAAGAGAAGTCATAAACTTTATCATAGGTATGAATGTCGAGGAAGAAACACACACACACACACACACACACACACACACACCATATATATAACATATATAACATATATATAACATATATAATACATATTACACACATATAACATATAAATGTGTGTGTGTATATGTATATTAGAGGCCCAGTGCACAAAATTCATGCACAGGTAAGGTCCCTAGGCCTGATCAACAATCAGGGCCGACCTGTGGGGTGACTGGCGGGGCGATCAGGGGGCCCCCGCTGGCACCCGCCTTAGCTAGCTTGGGGCCTACAGGCTGGGGGCAGCTCCTGTGTTGAGTGTCTGCCCACTCATGGTCAGTGCACATCATAGAGACTGGTCGTTCCACCGGTCATTCTGCCGTTCGGTTGATTTCCATATTAGGCTTTTATTATCTAGGATATATATTATTCGTGGTTTCAGGAAAGCACTGGGGGTCTTGGAATGTATCCCCCATGGATAAGGGCGGACTGCTTTGAGCACAAGAATTTGAATCTGAAGAAACTCTTGGGCCCTTTCTACTTTTCTTCTTCCCCAAACCATTCCTATGTTAGCTCAGGCCTGTGTGCCTTTCTCTAGGCTAAATGTATGGCCCTGACTTTTCCTTGAGTCCAGGAATCCCTCATTTCTCTTCTCCTGTCACTTCCTCCAGCTTACTTATCAGAACAGGAGAGCTGCCTCTGCTTCCCGGGCATCTTCCCCATCTCTGCTTACTCTATCACACTGGTGTTGCTAAGACATTTCCTGGAAAGAATCTGCAGGCTGAAACCAAAGCTGGATGATTTTGCAGACATTGCTTTCTCAAATATGCAGAAGGCTCGTGTTGCCAGGATGGTGTGAACCTGCCAGTGCTTTGCTATTTCCAGAACACTGGCTTTGCAGGCAGCCAGCGATTACCATGATTTTTGCCCAGTGAAAATGCATTTAAGGAAAGGGTTGTAAAAATATGGTTGCCTTAATGGGAACTTTATTATATTCTTAGCACTAAGTTATTTGAAGGACATGAAAATAGACTCAGTCTTTTTAAAAGTTCCAACAGTAACACGGGTGCTTTTCTGGTTTGTACTTTGCAGAAGTGAAATTTTTCTGTCAAACTCCAGCAATTGCTGATATTGTAATCCTGGTTGATGGTTCATGGAGCATTGGAAGATTCAACTTCAGACTGGTTCGGCTTTTCTTGGAAAACCTGGTTACAGCGTTCGATGTGGGCTCAGAGAAGACACGGATTGGTACACCTTCTACTATTCATAGCAATCAACTGTCAATGTAAAACTTTGGGGAAGCCTCTTAAGAAATTTCAAAAACTCTTTACAGAGTCACTTTCAGAATTACAGGATCTACTATAGTGGTGTTCCCCAAAATGCAAATTTGGATCAATAGGATATGCCAATTATTTATTCCTACTAATTTTGCTATGACACTGTCATTCAATTAATTATTGAACCCATTTTAATTTTCTAGAAGTCAAAATCTTCTCTAATTATTTTTATTATTATTTTAAAGTTAGAGTTGGCTTAAAAATTTATTAGGTAAAAGTTTTCTTTTTTAAGGAAACAGTCAAACTAGTGAAACATTATACTAAAACAACTAGAAATTGGAAATAATTTTATAGTACAAGATAATCTTTGTCACATTAAATCTAGCTGAGATAAAAAGCAAATAAAAAAGTTTAAAATCTTTAAGCAACATGTTCACTTTATTACAAAAGTCTCCTAGTTTTGCTTTTAAATAGCCATTAAGGAAACTCCTTCCTTTGAGAATAAAAACCAACATATAAATCTAGACCTTTTATCTACAAACATAATCCAGACTTTAAAAAAACCACATGCTAAGTACCTAATACTTTAAAAGTGGTCACTTCCAGATGGCTATAAAATAGATACATTTCCTCAGCCCCCAGATAATTAATTCTCTCGATTAATTCCTTAAATCAATGCCAGGAATCCTCTTCCTCTCCCTCCCCTGCCCGTGCAGGAATCCTTCTTGAAAGTACATAGTGAGGTGGTGAAAAAAATGTTGCAAAGATTAGGCCGTTCATCATTTTAGTTTCTGGAATAGTCCACTATCTTTGAGTAACCCATCATTTCTGGGTGGGCTTCCTTATCTTTCTTATCCAGGTCTTGCACAGTACAGCGGTGATCCCAGAATAGAATGGCACTTGAATGCCTTCAGTACAAAAGATGAGGTGATCGAAGCTGTCCGAAATCTGCCATACAAAGGAGGAAATACCCTAACAGGTATGTTTTGTTCAGTCCACAACATATTTTGCTGAAGAATAGTTTTATTTCTTTAGTTGGCCTCTTTGTAAGACTTAGCATAGTACTTTTTTAAACCAAAGGAAGTCTTCATTTCTCCTATCCTGTCACTTCCTCTAGCTTCTAAAGTTCTCAGATGGTTCTTTTCTCAAACTCAGCTTCATAAGTTAAAACCCAGACATCTCATTGCATATGAATAGAGTGTCCCGGGAGGGGCTTGGTTGACCTAGAAGAAAATGGAGTAGTCTCTGAGGCTGACAGTGCTCCTAGCTGTTTTAACCATTGTGAGTCCCTTCCCCCCCACCCCCCCTCTTTTCACCTGTTTTCTCCTCCAGCCATCCTGTCAATGAAATAAACACAAATTATTACCTTGTATTTAAGGAAGGTATTTTCTTGGCCCTTATTCTGCAATCAGTAGCTATCATGAAAATATTTGCGGATCTTTGGCTCACTGATATTTTTAATAAATGAAGAATGTGAGAATATTTAGATGATAATTATCTTAGCCACAAGGGGTTATCATTGGTTTTACCCTTACTGCACATCCAATATATATGCTCAATTAAAATACATAGATGTTGTCATTGACTTTTAAGGAAACCACTGAAATCCTGACAATTGCTTTGCCAATCTGAGGCATAATCTAATGGGTGTTTTGTTCATACAACTAAAAAAATATTTAACACAAATTCTATAAAAAATATTGCAGCATTTCTTATTTTTTCTCGGTGAAAAGTGTCACATTCAAAAGGCAGGGGTTCAGTTTTCTTTGAGATGTTCCCCCACTACCTCTAAGAGAGATAGGAAAGAATTTTTGGTTTTATAGGCCATCATTAGCAAAACTGAAAGTGTAGAGATAATATTTGGAACAGACACTGTTGTGCGAGGATTCTTGCTTTATTTTAACTTATAAAGGTTTACATTTTCATGTACACAGATCTGTCATGTCCATGGGCCACGAATTCAATGTTCGTTGTAAATGCGAATTTCTGAAATGATGCAGTGGTCAGTTATTTGTGTTGCCTCTCTTCTGGTGGAGTTGAGTTTTTCATCCGTTCTATCAAGGAAGAGGTTGTTGTAAAAATGAAGGTGAAAGTTTGCATCTAATAAAAATCCCTTTAGTTCAATAAGTTACTCATCTTGTGGTTACACTTTGCAGGACTGGAAGGGTTTTTATTAGAGGTGGTTGGTTTGTGTTTATTTTTCCTTGTTTTCTGCCAGGTCTTGCTTTGAACTACATTTTTGAAAACAGCTTTAAGCCAGAAGCAGGAGCAAGGACTGGAGTATCCAAAATTGGCATCTTAATCACAGACGGGAAATCCCAAGATGATATTATTCCACCCTCCAGGAACCTTCGTGAATCTGGTGTGGAGTTGTTTGCCATAGGTATGTGTTACTTACCGTTCTGTTTCAACATTGGGGACAGACACACAGCCACTTAAAAATAATATGTAATGCAAAGTGCACTTCATGGAAAGCCAAAAGACCTATACATTTTCTAGTCCTGACTCTCATCACAACTTGTCATATGATCTGAGCCCTACAACCTACATTTAAAATGGAAGTGATGGTAACTGTTTTGTGCCCTATAGTGTGAGACCTCTAAGCCGAGATACCATATGTAAAGTGTTGTGAAAAGTATAAAGGATAACGGTTAGGCTCATACTTATTACTTTTTACCAGTCAGGACTTTTCTCTTTAGTATCTCGTTATAGGCTCTCTCTTTTCTGGTGGTATATGGAGAAACCAGTTTATCATTTTCAAGTAATTAAGGTCCTGCAGTTATTTAAAGAAAGCACAAAGTTCCAGATACGCAGTATTATTTCTTGGAAGCTCTTTTTAAGGTATCATTCTTGTGGAAAAGAATATATACTAATATATATCTATATATTTACACATGCAGAATAACTGCAAAATACTTAGATGATGCAACTTTGTTCTTGAGGAAAATGCTTACATTTTCTTTGGCAGTAGGTGGGTCTTCTAGTTCATCGAGACTGACAAAACAAAAACAAACCTAAATCTAGACACAGTTCTTCTGGCCCATTCCTAGATTTGCTATCAAAATGTGGTTTATAGAATGTTTCATTCAAGAAGTATTTGCTTATCTGCTGTGTGCCAGGCATTGTGGGTGGGTGCTGGGGCACAGAGATGAGGAAGGCCCTGTCCTTACAAAATGAGCCCTTCCAAGTCATGGTGACATCTCCTCTCTTTCTATGCTATTTGCAACAAACTACTTTGCTATTTGGTGTGTGTGTGTGTGTGTGTGTGTGTGTGTGAGAGAGAGAGAGAGAGAGAGAGAGAGAGAGAGAGAGAGAGAGAGAGAAAGGGACTATCTTCCCTAGAATAGTTTCATATCTATAAATTCAAATTTGTTGGTTTTAACTAACCAGCATGAAAAGCATGGCTGATATTAAGCTCATTGCTTCAGTATGCACTAATGTGATTTTGTTATTGTGGATCCAGATCCAACTGCACATTTTAGAAGCTATTGAAGAAGTCCTTCAGGCAAGAAACATCAGACAGATTGATTTAATTTTCATTTTTTATTTTGCAATCATTTTCCCCAACAAAGGAAATCCCTTCAGAAGATGTAAACTGATGGGGGAATTCATTCATGTGTTTATTCTCCATTTTGTGGTCTTGTTCATAATGAATGGATGAGTTTTTAAACAAAACTTTAAGTGAATTCAGATGTGATTTGAACTTTTTTTTTTTTTGGAAACTACCTGAAAACCAGTAGTATTTATTATCCTATGACCCCCTAAAGCAAATAGGTGAGAAACAACCAATGCTTTGTTACTCAGTGTGTTGAGGTTGGAAGATGAATTCAATGGCATAGCCAGGCCTCTAAGAAGTAATTCATGTTGCCCCAAGTAATCGTTCTTCCTTTCTTCCATAGTACCTCTTTTAACACCCTTAGATTATTGCAATGTCAGAGGTTTATAAAGAAACTAGAGGCCTGGTGCATGAAATTCATTCACGGGAGGGGGATGTACCTCATCCTGGCCTGCACCCTCTCCAATCCAGAACCCCTGGCTCCTAACCGCTTACCTGCCTGCCTGCCTGCCTGATATCCCCTAACCACTCTACCTGCCTGCTTGATGTTCCTAACCACTCTGCCTGCCTGTCTGATAGCCTCTAACTACTCCCCTGCTGGCCTGATCACCCCTATCCACCTCTGCCTGTCTGATCACCCCTAACTGCCCTCCCCTGCCAGCCTGATCGCCTCTAACCGCCTCTGCCTCGGCACCCGCGACTGTGGCTTTGTCCAGAAGATGTCTGGTCTAATTAGCATGTTACTCTTTTATTAGTATAGATGCTCCTTGTTTGTTGAAGCCTGGGGAAGATAAATCTACCTTGACACCCATCAGAACCAATCCTGTGCCTTCCTTTCTTTGTTTCTAATTTCATTGGTAAATATTTACTCATTTTAATGTGAGTCTTCTGAGAGGCAGCACGATATAGTAGTTCAGAGCATATGACTTTGGATCTAGACTACCTGGCTGAATCCCGGGTGTACACTTCCTGGTTATGTTTCCTTGAGCAAGTTAATTAACCTCTCTCTGCATCAGCTTACACATCTGTATAATGGGAGAAACAATTGTGCCAAACTCATAGGGTCGGTTGTGAGGATTAAATATGTTAATATTCATAAAACACTGAAGCCTTTGGGGCACTGTAAATGTTAGCATCCACTGCTAAAATAGAGACTGGAGAAGTTGCCTGAGGGTGGAGGGTTTTTTGTATCACTGTACTTCCTGCTGTATTCTAAACACTCAGCATTGAGCTTGACCCACCATAGCAAGGGAATTCAATAAATATTGTGGGAGAACCAGAGCTTCCCTATTTGCAATGGTTACTAGCCAGCCTGTGTATTTGCATATGTTAATCCCCCCAAGCTGTCTCTTAATATTATATAATAATCATCATCATCATTATATATTATTTTTATTATAGTAATCTCTCAATTTAAGTAAATGTGTTTTATAGAAATTTAAACCGGAAGTTTTGATCGTTTAGAATACTGGTTTCATTACTATTATACAATATTCATGCAAGACAGAAGTTAGTTTCATCAATACGTCTCTAGGGTAAGACATATTGAAGAAAATGAAGCTCGCCCCTAGCCGGTTTGGCTCAGTGGATAAAGCGTCGACTTGCGGACTGAAGGGTCCCGGGTTCGATTCCAGTCAAGGGCACATGCCTGGGTTGTGGGCTCAATCCCCAGTGTGGGGGATGCAGAAGGCAGCCGGTCAGTGATTCCTTCTCATCATTGATGTTTCTCTCTCTCTCCCTCTCCCTTCCTCTCTGAAATCAATAAAAATATGTAAAAAAAAAATGAAGCTAAACCATTTAACAATGATTCTGAAGGTGACTTTTATAAAGCCTCAGCCGGGAGAGATGTGCCTCTTGAAGCAGCAGATACTTTGATTGTAGTGAGACTGAGGGGCTCAGGTTGGGGACAGTGCCGTTGCTTTTTCAAATGGGGCATGGATGTCGCAACCCTCCCTGTTGTCCTCCTTGCAAGGGGTGAAAAACGCGGATGAGAACGAGCTGCAGGAGATCGCCTCTGAACCCGACAGCACGCACGTGTACAACGTGGCCGAATTTGACCTGATGCACACGGTGGTGGAGAGCCTGACGAGGACCGTCTGCCTCCGGGTGGAAGAACAGGACAGGGAGATCAAAGGTACACAGTGACGGGGAGCAGTTGTTCTGTGCACATGGGGACTGCGCTGAGCAAAAGTCTGCCGTGGGTTAGGAAAATCCTTACCATCTTTCATCTCGACTTTCTAAATAGAGTCCTCTATTCTCCTAATAGAAACGGGTGTATATTGGTGGGGTGAGGGAGGAATACTCTAAGCACTAGATAATTTTCTCCTTTAGACCATCATGTTTGTGTCTTTTAATTAAACTTGATTTTGAGAGAATTGTCCATGTACATGGTTGTAGGAAATAATGTAGAGAGAGAGCCTGTGTACTTTTCCAGTTTCCCTCAATGGTAACATATTGCAAGACGGCAGTACAATATCATGGTGTTTGCACTAATACAATCAAAATATAGAACATTTCCATTACCGCAAGGATCATGACTATTGTCTTTTTATAGCCACATTCATTCTATCCCTCCCCCAATCTCTCCCTAACTCCTGAAAATCGGTTCTCCATCTCTAAATATTTTTCATTTTGAAAATATTATGTAGGTGGAATCATGTAGTATGTAACCTTTGGGGATTGGCTTTCTTTGTTCAAGATAATTCCCTGGAGATTCCTTCAAGTTGTTGCAAGTATTAGTGGCCCTTTCCTTTGAACTGCTGTGTCGTATTCCACTGTATGGATGTACCACAGTTTGTTTAACCATTCCCACATTGAAAGACACCTGAATTGTTTCCATTCTTTGGGTGTTACAAATAAAGCTGCTCCGAACATTCATGTATAGGTTTTTCTGTGAGCATATGTTTTAATTTCTCTGGGATAAAGTTCAGGATATCATATTGTAATTTTATATTTAGTTTTAGTTAAGAAACTGCCAAGCTATTTTCCAGGGTGACCATAGCATTTGACATTCCCACCTGCAATATATAGAATGTCCCCAAAAAATGTATGTACACACTTTGAATAATTATAAAGGCAGTGCTTATTAAAATACATTTCATTTTCAAAGTTGAGTTATCAGCTGTTAAAGTGTATATACATTTCTGGGGGCCACCCTATATGAGGGATCCAGTTTCTTTGCATTGTCACCAACATTTATTGTTGCTCCTGTTTTTCATGTTAGCCTTTGTGATCAGTGTGTAGTATTAACTCCTTATGGTTTTAATTTGCACTTTCCAGATGCCCAGTGAAATCAAACATCTTTTCACGTGCTCATTTTGCATCTGTGATATGCTCTTTGGTGAAATGTCCGTTCATGTCTTTTGCCTATTTTTCTAATTGGACTTCTTTAAGTTTAGTGTTAACAGTTGAGTTTTGAGAATTCTTTATTCATATTCTACATACCAGTCCTCTTTTGGGTACATAGTTTGTTAATATTTTTTCCTGATACGTAGCTTGTCTTTTCATTTTTTAAATAAGGTTTTTTTTTGCAGAGCAAAACTTTTTAATTTTGGTGAGGGACTAGGTTGGGCAGCCAACATGTGGAGATAAAGCATGTAATACAGTTCCTGGTCATAGTTAGTGTTCAGTAACTATGTTCTCCCCTCCCCCACAATACATGGTTATTGAAGTCTCTTGGGTAAATGCCCCTAAAACAAGCATGTCAAACTTGCAGCCTGCAGGCCTCATGCCTCATTTAATTGGCCCATATTAGCCTTTGAGTTTGACATGCTTCCCCTAGAAAATAAGCAATCCTAAAGTTCAAGGACCCTGAACTTTGCATGTTCTAAATATTTTGTAGAATCATTAGCTTTAACATGTACATAAGACAAACTGCTTACGCAGTGTCTAGCTAGCTCATAGTGAATATTCAGTGTGTTGGTTGCTGTTTCTTCTTTTTTTACTTTTAGTTATTGGCCATTTGTTGCAGTCTTCAGTATAGTTACTGGACCTTCAGATGCTTAAAAACACAGACTCTTGTGTCAAGAAGCTCGAGTATCAAACTCAGCTCTGATACTAATTGTGAGACTTGGGCGAGTTACTTAAGTTCCTTGTGGCTTGGTTTTGTTACCTGTGAAATGGGAAGAATAATAGTAATCATTGAGAAGTAAATAAAACAATAAAGAACTTAGAAGACTACTTATAGATATACACATGTTCAATGAATGTGGTGTTTTTGTATTTTACTATGCTATAGCAATTTCTTTAAGCCAAGTTCCTTAGAGTCAAGGACTATGTTTTATTTAAGTTTGTATCTGCAGAACCTGGTGTAGGGACTGGTACTTAATAGACACTTAAATGTTTTGATGAACAAATGTCGGAATGAATAACTGAATCAGCTTCTCTAGAGATGAAGATCTTAGGGGTGGCATAAAGTCAGTAGTCACTTCTGACGAAGGGGGTTTCCTAGGTAAATAAGAAATACCTGGGGAAGAGGTTCATCTTATGTGTCTCTTTAATTTAGCCTTGGCCCTTGCCACCATTGGGCCGCCTACGGAGCTGATTACTTCTGAAGTCACTGCCAGAAGCTTCATGGTTAACTGGACTCATGCCCCAGGGAAGGTGGCAAAATACAGAGTCGTGTATTATCCTACCAGGGGTGGAAAACCAGATGAGGTAATAAAGAGATGATATTTTCAAACCATTATTTTCATTTTCTCAAGTCTTCTACAGTAGAGAAGACAAGACAGAAATGGATATATAAGGTTATTCTGTGATAAACATTTAGAATTATTTCACTTAAATACGTTTCCACATGCCCGTGTACTTTATTTGCACCTTTTCTTCTGACCTCCATCAAATAACCCTCAGAACTGGTCGTGTATCCATTTCTAACACAACTTACTTTAGCTCCCCCCACCCCTTCTTTTAAAAAATTAATGAGTTCTAAACAAAGGAAATCAGTAGTTAGTTATCTGGCCAGAGCTTCCTTTTGCTATTCATGTGTTCTTTCTACTTTGGGAGTGGTCTGAACTCCCTTCCTTAATGAAGTCTGTGTGATCCAAATTATGTGGTCACATAGTCCTCCAGGGTTTGGAATTTCCTGGACGTTTATGGAGATTATTGCAGTGGAGGGGCCATAAGAAAGCATCTGTGGCTGGCCTTTCTCATGGGTTGGCCATCACGGGAGAGTACCTATTGCCAGATGATTGGATTCTTCCCAGTTCCTACCTTTGATACAGCAATTCACAGGGAATATGTTCACATGTGATGAAATCTTTTTTTTTAAATGCTAACCTTTCATTGTCCTAACCCCTGACTAACCTCAGTCTGTTGCACAATTTTCCTTTGGATTATGGCAGGGGATATAATTTTTTTAAGTGTTAGAGAAGTAGATCATGAAGGTTTAAATTATCTTGTCAAAAAAATCAGAATTATTCCAATGCCCTATCTTTTTTTCTGACTAATAAACCTTTTAAATGCTTCCCAAAGCTCCATGGAAAAATATCAAACATTAACTGTTATGAAGCAGATGTGATTAGTATAAAAACAGCACCATTTCCACTTAGATAGGAATTAATAAGGGAGTTTTGGACATGTTCCATAAAAGGCGCATTGCTTCAGATAGGAATTCAAGGAGAATTGACCGCACAGTGGAAAGAGGATGCAGCACACATAAGAAAACATTTAGTGGCATGTTCTTGCTAGAGGTATTTTTGCTTTTTCATGTTAATTCTGCACGTGGGACATTTCATACTCTCATACCTGAACTGCACTTTGAACAGGTGGTGGTCGATGGCAGTGAATCTTCCACGGTGTTGAAAAACTTGATGTCTCTCACGGAATATCAGGTCTCCGTCTTTGCAGTGTATCCCCACACCGCTAGCGAAGGCCTGCGGGGAACCGAGACCACCCGTACGTATTGGATTCCACCTCACTTCTGACCTTGGATAGCATTGCTGAGGCAGCCCTTCCTCATTTGGAATTCTGCTCAGGTTGTCTTGATGGACATCCTGAGTCAAATTCCTAGAAAATAGTTATGCTTGCATGCGGTACTGGACCAAGCCTATCATTACATTTTGCAGGGGCTACATACCGGAGGGATATGATAACACTGTTATGTGTAGGAGAGAGTAACCTTAGTGGTGAAGGGTGCAAAATACATTTATTTATTTAGTAAACAAACATTTAATGAATGCCTGTTACAAACTAAGCACTGAGCTTGAATTTGTCAGTAGAAGTAGAGGAGCTCTGTAGCTCTCTTTCCTGCCCAGTAGAAATACAAGGGCATTATGTTACATCTATTTTCACTTTTTATGCCATTGCAATCAAAACAAGCTTCTGAATACTAGTAATTCCTTAACTGAGCATGATAATGATCACACACACACACACACACACACTTCTGAAAAACTATAATCTCAAAAAACACAGTTATCTACTCATTCAGTTATTGCAAATGTGAATTAAGGTCCTATTACGTGCTTGTCACTATCACAGTTAAAGAACTCTGCCTCTGATAAGACAATGATAACAATATAAACACCACCAATAACTATGTGGTAGGCATTATGGTAATCACACTCCAGTCCAATACATTGTTGGATTTATCCCTGACAATGATTTTTAAGGTAGCTATTAATAATCCCGCTTTGCATAAGTATTTTAGCCACAATTCCTGACCTTAAGGAAGTTTTTGTCTAGTAAGGGAGAGAATGCAAACCAAGGACATGCAATCAAATTAGTGCAATGAGCTGCTATAGGCACTCCAATCCAAGTGTGACAGGGAGCTGCATGTGTAAACCAAGTCCTGAACTTGACATTGTGATTGGAAAAGGAGGCAAGGCCAGAGTGTGGAGGGCCTAGGTTCATATTTGAAACCAAAATTTCATGGTTTTCATTGGCATTGTTAAAACCAGGAGCTTGTAATTTATCCTTAATCTCTTTCTCCTACCTCTCAATTATAGCCAGTCTTATTTCTTGATTATTCCATTTTTCTCAACCTATTGCTACTTAGTCATGCCTCATCATTGTCCCTGATTGAATGTGTCAATGAGTATTTATTCATTCATGTATGTGTTCCTCCAGCCACCCGTTCTGTCATTTTACTGTGACTCAACAACTATTTTTAATGGCTGTTGCATGTCAGACACTGTTTGGTGATGGACATAAAATAGTGGTCAGAATAGTCTTCTTGCTCTTGACTGGCTGCCAGGGAAAGGGGCCCATCACTGTAGTGTGATATAAGAAAC